TTTTGAAATTAATAATAATATGTGATATATGTGGTGGAACATAATTGCATTTCAGTCCCACGGTTTTTTTATTGAAAATATTATAATAAAAAAAAACTCATTAACCAATAAAAAGACACTATTTTGCCATGTAGGATAGATGAAATTTGAAAATTGAGTTTTTTTGGCATTTAATATAATATTGTGCATAAAATTTAATTAACTCAAATTAAGTGGAATGTCCATTTATATATTTACGTTTTTTAATATGAAGCAATGGATTAAAAAGGAAAATCAATAACCAATAAAAAGACACCATTTTGACATGTAGGAGAGATAAAAAATTAAAAACCAATAATGTGAAATAAATTCATTAGTAATATGGGTGAATATGGTAAGTGGGGTTATTTTGAAATTTATAAAATATTATGGACTCAATCTCCTCAATTAGAAAACTTTGATTGTGTATCTTAGTTTTATATATAATATAGATTTATTCTTTTTCCTTTTTTTTTTTATCAACTTTAACACTTTAAGAATTAATCACACTGCAATCTTATTTAATCAATAGATGGAGAATGCGCGCTGCAAGTTGAGTGAGGAGAAGTTTTTGCTGGCTATGACGATTGTGTGGAAGATTTGGGAATTCCGAAACAACATGTTGCACGACGAGGTGGGGCTACGGGCCGAAGATCTAATTAGCTGGAGCACAACCCATCTTAATGAATTCCAACAAGCCTGCTTGACAACCTTCACGAGGAATTTTTTTCCGGTTAAATGGAAACCTCCACCAGAGAGTTCAATAAAGGTAAATTTCGATGCGGCAGTTACCCTACGGAGAGAACTATCATGTAGTTTCAATGATTGCACGGGATTGGAAGGAAGAATGTCGTCGAGGTTGGGCAGTTCGAAAGTTTCCGGGTCAACCTCACGCGATAGACTGTGAAAGCTATCTCGTGGGCGAGATTAAAATGCTGGAGTTCGATTATATAGGAAGGGAATTGCTTGCAAGTTATTAACGCACTTAATGATGGAGAATTCATACCCTCGTCGTTTGGAGCTTATGTTGAGGACTGCTTGATTTTAGCTAGATTTTTTGATTTTTGTATTTTTTATTTTGTCAAGCGAAGTGGTAATCTGATGGCACACACTCTTGCCACAAAGCTTGGAACAATTTGTAGTGGGGGAATTCTCTTTACTCTAGCTAATTTGGCCTAATAAATCTTTCTGCCTAAAAAAAAAATAGTAAACGCAAGTCATTTTTTTTTTTAGGGTAAATGAGTGATAACCCCCTAGTTTTGAAAATATATATGGGGAGGTCCAATGAATTTTTCTATCCTAGTCAAAAACCCAAATTTTGATCTTAATTTGTGAGACCCCCTGAGGCATAGTGATGTGACTTTTTTACCCTTAATTAGCATTTTTTGTGTAATAAGGTAAAGCCACGTCGTTTCTCGTCTCACTCTCCATATGTAGTTCTCTCCTTTCTTTCTTTTCTCGTTGTACATCCAAACCCTAGTTCTCTCTCTTCCATCCACACCACAACCGTCCACCATATTTTTTCGATTGATCCGCTTCAAACCAGGAGGCCGCCGCTGCCGCTGCCGAGAGATGTTAAGCCACCGCTGCCGCCGCCGAGAGATGTTAAGCCCAAGCCGGAGAAGGGGAAGCGTCGCCGCCGCCGCAAGATTTTGAGACCAGTCAAGGATAGGAAGACGATAGATCGGCCAAGATCGGGGGTGTTCTTGTCTAATTTTGAGGACCACAGTACGTTTTACTTTTTTATTTTTTTATTTTTATTTTTTGTTCTTCAACAGATCGAAGATCTTCAAATGATTTTTCAGATTTGTGTTTTTACCAATTCTTTTTTAATTTATACATACTTTATATATATATATATATATATATATATATATATATATATATATATATATATATATATATATATATATATATATATATATATGCTTTTGTTTTGTTATTATGATGTGACATTTTAAACATTGTGGAAATTGATTTTTTTTTCTATTTCTTTTCTGGTTTACTTTTTTAATTTCATTTATCTACTGGTTTACTATTTGTTTTTTTGAAAACCTGTATGGCTTACAACAATCCAGCTGCTACTCTTTTTCGAGATTTTGGGTGGTATAAATGATACCATATCATACCTAATGGTAGAGGTGTCTCGTGTATGGTTCTGTATATTTTGAATATATATGAAGATTTAACTATAGTCATATATAGTCACATGTAGGGACATGTAGTAACATATGCACGTAACTGTGTATTTTCTCTGTATTTGTTGGTTATGAGTTAATTTATAATGTAAATATTTAATTGAACTTGATTTTTAAAAAGTAAATATATACAAATTTATTGCCGTTGTACGGGATCCGTATTTCGACGATGATTTGTATTGCCGATGAATAAGATCTGTATTCTGGCCTCAATCGATGAACATAATCAACATTTCGATGTATTCCGCCGCACGAGTCTCTAATATGTATGAGGTAATTTGTTGTATTTTTTTTATTGTTTCATGGATTGATGTTGGGCACTTGTAATAAGTTCAAACTATGTGAAAAAATTAGAATTGATGATTTACGCAATTGTTTAGGCATTTTTTTCGTGTAATAAAATGAAGTGCTTGATGAACTGTTTTCTCTCTCTCTTCTCTCTCTTTCTTTCTCTTTCTTCATCTCTTTCTCTCTAACTCTCTCTACACCCACAGCTCTCCGCCGCCGTTGCTCCCCTCACCTCCTTGCGTTGTCGCCGCTGCTCCCGACCTCCTTGCGCCGCCACCCCGTCGCTCCCCTCACCTCCTTGCACTGCCGCCGTCGCTGCTCCGCCGCCTTGCGTCGGTGCTCCGCCACGGCCTTGTGCCGGTCGTCGTTGCTCCTCCCACCGCCTTGAACTCGGTACTAAACCATTCACTTCATTTTTTTAAGTTTTTTATTAATTTAACCAGTAGTGGTTACTTACATGAGTGATTTGAGTCAGGTGAATATACAATTATATTTAGTCATATACAGTCATGTATAGTCAGTCACATGTAGTAATGTATAGTCATGACTACATGTAACTATACATGACTATATATAGGACTTGTAGTATAATATAGTTATTTGTAGTCGACTTTAATTCAGTAAATTTATCAACAAAAAAAATCATATTTTTTTTGTATTTTTCATGTAATTTGATTTTTTATTATAAATCATATATATGTAATTTTTTTTTTGTATTTATTTGAAGATGATTTGAAATACCTAATGTGTGAGAGCTTTGTTTGTCTGTAATATAAATTTAACCAGTAATGGTTACTTATATGGGTGATTTGAGTCAGGTGAATATACAGTTATATTTTGTCATATACAGTGACATATAGTCAGTCACATGTAGTCATGTATAGTCATGACTACTTGTGACTATACATGACTATATATAGGACTTGTAGTATACTATAGTCATTTGTAGTCGATTTTAGTTCAGTAAATTTATCAACAAAAAAAATCATGTTTTTTTTTGTATTTTTCATGTAACCTAACTCGCATGTTCCATTTTGCTATTTAACTCGTTTTTTTTTTGTCGCAGGTTTTGCTTTTATTATAATTTTATGACATGCAGAGAATAAAATTCGATGAAGTGCCTTTGTGAAGTTGGATTCATGCTACAGTACTCCGGACTTATGCCACTTATATAACTATAGATATTTGTATATAACTATAGTCACTTGTAGTAACATATATTTATATGTATGTTATGTGTTTTTAATGTATGGTAATGCGTGTTCATATTTTAAAGATTATATGCATGTAATCGTGTTTTTTTCAATTTTTTTGAGTTTAGTTGATTTATAATATTAAGATTAAATTGTGAATTTTGTTGTTGTTGTAGATTAATTTTCGGGTAAAAAGACAGTATATGATTACATATAACTGTAGTCATATACATGACTATGGTATACTGTAGTCATATATAGTCAATTCAGTACAGTAAATTTAACCAAAAACAATTAGAAGAATTAAAAAAAAGTAAAAAAAGTAAAAAATTTAAAAAATTAAAAAAATTAAAAAAATTAAAAAAATTAAAAAAATTAAAAAAAATAAAATAATACAAAATACGATATATATAAAAAAATAATAAAATAAGAATTTATATTTTTATTAAAATAGTATATAAAAATGATAAATGCATGCCTAAATTGCTAAATGCAGTTCAGCATTATGCTGAATGTAGGGGCGAAAATGTTGAATGCAATTGGGTGGAAATTGAACATAAGGGCCCAATAGTACTTTTACCTCTCCAGGGGTTATATCAAAGAAATAATTTTAGGGGTGGACCTAGCTCTATATAAGTTCCATATGAGGGGTGTATATCAAATGGGCCCTTTTTTTTAATTATTAATTCCATATTGCATTCCAACCATTTATTTATCATCTCTTTAATTTTAATTTTATTGTTTTAAATAAGATTCATATATTTCTTCACTCTTATTATATTTAAATTTAATTAAATTTAGTTTTGTTGCATTTCTAACTTTTCGAATTAAATTTGGGAAATTATCCAAACTCAAAATTTTGGGAAATTATCTAAACTCAAAATTTGTCCATTGATTTATCTTGAAATTTAAATTTTGGGAAATTATCTAAACTCAAAATTTGTCCATTGATTTATCTTGAAATTGAAAAATTAGAGGTTTCTACTTAGATGGAAGTCCGAAGAGATTTTTTGGGTGGGTTTTGTAGATTGAAAACACAAAAAATATGGAAAATCTTGACCTAGTCTCACTTATGTTCAAAATTTGATAAACTCAATTTTTTATGATTAATCATGCAATATTTGAAAAAGAAATGTTTGAAAGAGAAAGATGGAGTTGGTGCTAACTGCTAAGTTTAAATTTATTAAATAAATGTTAGGTTTAATAAAATGTGTCATTCGTTTAATTAACTATCTAATTTGGAACCTCCTTCGTATTGATTTTAGTACATTGAACAAAAAGAATAAACCACAAAATGCATATTATAATAATTGAAAATATTTAAATAAAGATGACAAGGATGAAACTCATCAACAGTTTCCATTCAACAAGCAAACCAAACTTAAGGAAACATAAATCAAAGAGTCTCCACCATATAGTTCAAGCCAAAATCAAGCCCCAACAAATAACTAAAGAGAGCACACCACCACACACACACAAACACCGACACAAACCGAATCCGAAAATAAAGATGCATAAAAATATCCCAACATCAAATACCATAATTCGACTTCAAAGGCCTCCAAGATTGCCTTCACTTCGGCTTCGTGGGAAAGAGAAATCATTCCTCAGGCTCAGAACCCTTTTACTCAGGTCGGTAAGCTCATGTCCCTGAGTTGCCGTTTTCATTCCAGTGGGGGGCAGTCGCCCCCCTGACCTACTCCTGTTGGACTTTGGTAAGTTAGCCAGCACTGCTTGACTTTTCCTGCCATGGTTTGAAGAAGAAGATACCTTCTGAGCTACGATCCCATGTGCCCCCTTTCTGGTGGACTTCGCTTCCAATCGATGGCCACGATCCATTTGATGAGAGCCGATGCTTAATCGAGCCGACCGATCTGAAGTGTCCTTTGTTGACCCAACTTTAACAGATTGTCTGTTGTAGTATGTGAGGTTTGGAAGAAGGCTTTGCACGTATTTCTTCAACTGCTCGTCTCCTACATTCTTCTGGGCAGGGTTTCCTTCCAAGCTGATTGCTTGTAGGCAATTGTAATTAGCTGCAATTTGGCCCAGACATTTTGTTGTTGAGATTTTGTTGAAACGCAAATCGAGGACATTCAGTTTTAGGAGTCGGTGGAGCCCTTCAACCTCGCTTATCTTGTTACCAGCCAAGTACAGCTCCTTGAGTGAGGAACATGCCGCCAGACCTTTCAAACAAATGGCAAAGTTTATTTTAAAAAAGTAGGGGGAGGGGCCTGGCCCTCCTTAGCCCGAAATATTTTAAAAACTATTAAAGCTTTTATTCATTTTCTTTTCACTCTAGAGAGAAATTTAGAACAGTGAAGAGTTACTCGAGGGAGGAATATGCCGCCAGCCCTTTCAGACAAGAAGCAACAAAGTTTATTAAGACTTCTTGAAGAAGGCTTCTAGAAAAATAACAATTCTCGAAATCTATAACCGTGAAAAGTTACTTGTCAAAAATGGATTTATTAATTTTCCTGCGATACTCCCAGATTATTGGAAATTTGAAGCAAAACAGAACTGATGCAAACTACATTCAGGCTAATCAAATACCATCAACGGCTAGGGAGATTCATCATAGTTTATATTGAGAAGAAATCGTACCATGTCCAATTCTTAATATCCGATTATAGCTAAGGTCAAGCACACGGAGCCGTGTAAGATCACGCAATCCTTCAATAGTGGAGATATTGTTCTTTGAGAGATTCAAAATGTGGAGTCCTCGAGGGAGAGCACCGGCAGCAATCCTCACTGAGCAGTCAGCCGAAACAAGAAATCATTACTGAGTGCACATAGCATAAAGAGTACATAAAAGGAAAAAGAACAAAACGGCAGAGAGAAACGAACCTATGTCATTTCCAGATAGATTGAGCGCTTTGAGGCTAACAAAAGCACTGAAAAAGGGTATCACAACCAACCCAAGGTTAGTCAACTGAGCTGCTGTAGCCGAGGCATTTAGAGAAGAGATGTATCTCTTTGCTGCCTCCATTCCGGGGTTGACTTTGACTTCCGTCTTTGGAGCGGTGGTTTCCTCTGATAAAGGATCGACTTTTGACAACTCCTGATCATAGTACGGAGCAGATTCGTTAGATTCCTCTAGTGGGCCACAGTGCTGAAGGTTGACAACCCATTCTTGAATGCGCTTTAACCGAAAATCCTTAGCTGGCAATTCATCCCAATGGTGAAACGGAGTTTCTTCTTGTATACCTTTCCCTGTGTCTACCCCATTCGACACGGGTATTATCCAGTCTTTTGATGAGCCGAGATAGTTATAAGTCTCGTCAACCCCATCAGCAGGAATTTCACCATTAATGTTCTTCTCGTTGTTGAACAATGAAGTATCTACTTCTTCAAATTGGGCTTGTCTTCCTACTTTTGTGCCTTTCTTGATAGAATCTAAAGTATTCAGATCATCTGCAGATCTTGCGTGTGTTAAGAAGGAAGTCGGGCTTCCGTTAGGGGACCCAATCCTCGGTAAAGAACTTGATTTCACAAGAACAGGACGAGGAGTAATATCACCAGAATCAACCACCCCCGATAAATATGTATCATCTTTATCAGAATCTTCTTTTTCGGTTTGTTGGGGTTCTCCGATAGAAAATATGGATATATTCTTGGCAAAATCGGAACCAGCTTGAACTGAATTAGAGGGCATTGGTTCTTGACTATTGACGCCATCTTGAACATTTACCCTGCTGTTATTCGCAGATCCATTGTAAGAAAATCTCTGCTCCGTTACATCTTCCGAGCCATCAGCATCAGAGGATCTCTCTTCCAAATTCAAACAACTCCCCATAGATTGGCTTTTTTTAATCAGTGAATTCTTGCGCACAATAATATCACCATCGGAACTGTATTTGCCCTCGATTTCCTCAGATCTGCAACCATGTTCACTAGGAGAGTAATCAGTCGCGTGATCGGTAATATTACTATGCATGTCTCCCTCTTTTTTCAAGCACGGCTTATTTTCCGATGTTAAACTAGAAATTTTATCTTCGAAAGTCTTCTGCATTGCTTCGCTAGAGTGCTGAACGGTTCTCTACTCAGGAAAGAAATAGATTAAAATTAACAAACGGGTATCGAAAGATCACTAAAGTATCTAACTTACGAGAATATTATACCTAGTTAAGAAAGTAATCAACCAACCTTATTTTTGTGGTGGTGGGTAAGTATGTGAGCTTGAAAGCATGAAAATCTAACCATCTTTCCGAAACGACACAATTGGTTCACATCAGATCTAATCTTATTGCAATATTTAAGGTAACTGGCGAACGAGTACGGCTATTCTCCTAACAAACATTGTCTGAACAACTATGAAAAAACAAATCACAGACAGCAGCAACACTTTCTCGGGCTAAACTGAGGCAAACCTTAGCCATAATCAACAGACAAACCCTCTAAAGTGCGGCATAATCTCCATACATGTGATGATCTTGATCTCCTCAAAACACACAAAAGAATCACACTCTCATTAGCGCCCCACACCTGGTAAGAGGTGTGAGAAACCTCAGATGATGTTGTAGCTGCCAGACTGAAAGAAAATCTTCTGCAACTGTAAGAACAGCGCAAATCCGACTATGCATGTAAGAGACAGGTGCCTGATAATTATAACAAACCGAAACAAATTCATCAGTAGAATGAAAGTGAAATTTATTTGGCCACTTAGTTTTTAAGTACATATAAAGCCTTTACATACATACATACACCAGTTACATAAATCTAAATTTCTGCTCTCGAATTCAGAGCATTATAATGAATTAACCATCTGAAAATCCATTTCATGCTTTAAAAAATTTGAACACACTACTCGTTTCGGAAAAAAGGTATACGACGTACTTATAACCGCATCAGAACTCCGATGAGCTTTAGCATCAATAAAGCAAAAATATTCATCAAGTAAACATATCAAACATTAAATAAGCACTACCCTAAGATTCTAATAATCTATAGCTCATCAAAACGCCAACAGTAAATTTCAATAAACCACAACACGAATATATACACATCCAATACATACAAAATATAAAATCTCAACGCCGGATAATCATATCATAATCGTATCAACAAAAAAGCTCAAATAATTCAACTCCTCAGAGACAACAGGAATTGAAAAAAAAAAAAAAAAAAAAAAAAAAGTAATCTTTATTCGAAGAATTATGATCTGACCTCTTGTAAGCCAGATTGCCTTGAAAGTATAGCTCCTGGTGACGAAAAAATGAGCACAGAAAAAAAAATTGGTTGAAAATCAATTAATTAACTTGTTCTGGAACCCTAAAATGAAGAGAAAGGAGTCGGCAGGTCAGATTTATAATGATATCAAGGGCGATGATGATTACATGCGATTGGCTAAATCAAAGATTAATGAAATATTAGCTGATTACGGAAATTAAATGCCAAGGGGATTTATTTTATTTATTTGATAGAAAGTAAGAAATATAAATGAGAGAGATTAGAGAGAGAAGGTTGAAATGATTGTGGCCACTGAAATCAAAAAAAGGGCAGCCTATTTTCGTGGCCGTTGATTTTTAGGGTAAGTTTTTATGATATGACCTTTTCTTGAGGTCGGACTCTTAATTCAAATTAAATTTTTAATTTATGACCTTTTCATGACTTTTTCAGCTCACTAGAGTTTGAGTTGGTCGAAATTCAATTATGGTTTTAGGGTTTTGTTGCAATTATGTTACGGCACATTATAAATAAGCCCGTCATGAGATAGTTATTTAAAAGGGAATCCAAATAAAAAACTATTTTATAAAAAAACATATTATTTAGAGGTGTGTAAAATACTAAAATACTATTTATATTTTAATATGCTCTAATTTTATCTTTTAATTTAATTTGACCACAAATTTCACAAATTATTCAATTTTCACCCAAAACTCAATTTGAGTACAATTTCGTCCGTCGCCGCCGTTAACCGCCGGTCTCCGTCGTTGACTTTTTCTTTTCTTTTCCTTTTTTTTGAATTTTTTTTTCTTTAACATCATTTTGCCCCGTTTAAACAACAATATTATTGTGGTTGACAGTCATATTAACTATATTAATGTTAAACTCAATAATATTAAGTATACTACAGTTTAACACAGTAATATTGCTATAGTAATCTCTAACACAATAATATTAACAGAACAAAAGTCATTATTATTGTGTAATAGAGTAATATTAATATGTTGATCGTTCAACAAAGATAAATATAATAAAAAGCCAAAAGAACTAATATTGATGTGGTTGATAGTAATATTACTGTCATCTACAGTAATATTATTGTAACATTATTAATATTATCGTCAACCACAATAATATTATTGTGTTTACAGTAGTAATATTACAATAGTAGACAGTAATATTATTACGTTAATCCGTCAACAACTCAAACAAAACAAAATGGCAAAAAAAAAAATATTGATGTGGTTTACATTAATATTATTGTGTTTACAGTTATTTTACCGTTAACGACAGTAATATAATTAGGTTGACTTGTCAACAAATCAAACAAAAAAACCAAAAAAAAAATAATAATATTATCGCTGACAGTAATTGTACTGTCAATGAAAGTACAATTACATATATGTACTGTCAACGACAGTACAATTGTTGTTTGTGATAATATAATTATTGTTAATGATATTACACAATTACGATCAATGTTCAGCGGCGAGCGTAAAAAAACTGATAAAAAATTTAGGGAAAAATAAAACACTAAAAAAAGGTAACGCCGGGAAACCCGAACCCGAAGAAAAAAAATAGTCAACGCCGGAAACCGGCGGCAAAAAAGGAATTTTAGGAAAAATAGTTTAAAAAAAATCAAAATTGGATTTTTGTGGTCAAAATTGATTAAATTCGGGTTACAATTAAGAATTGGATGTAAATGGTTGGAGGTAATTTTGTCATATACATCAATTTTTCCTTTATTCTCCAAAATATAGTTGTACTAGGGGTGGAAATCGAAATGGAATTTTCGTACTCCGTCAATTTTGATCCGAAAATATCCCGGATTTAGAACCGTATTTTTCAATGCAATTTTCAATTTTTCTAAATTTACTAGATTTTTGGCTCGTGTGATGCACGAGATTGAAGTAAAATTAATACAATGTAAAGTTCAATTTAAACGAAAAAATTGAAGTTTCAATTCATTTTGATGTTTTTTTAGAGCAATTCATAGTCCATATTTTTTAATTTAGGGACTATATGACAAGCACCCCTTGTTGATTTTTTAATTAATGATAAATCCATTTTTATTAATTTATATTTGTTATACATCCGATTAACTCAAATTATCCAAAATATTATTATTTAATATTAGTTAAAGTTACTATATTAAGTTATAATTACGTCATTTCAGTTTCTATTTTTCCTTTTTTTTAATGGTTTTCTTTTATTTTTTCATTTTTTTTTATTTTCGATTTTTTAATTTAAATTATTTTTTTTCGTATTTATATTTTTCATGTTCTGCATTTTATTTTATTTTTAAATGTTTTTATTTTTATTTTTGTTTTTTTAATGATTTTTTTTCTTAATTCCGGTTTTTTTTAAATGGTTTTTTTTTTCCCAGTTTTTTTTAATAAATTTTTTTCTCAAATTGAAATCTGCTACATATTATCGAAATCTGCTACATATTATTGAAATTCACTACATATTTATCAAAATCCACTATAACTTTATCGAAATCCACTATAAATTTATCGAAATCCATTCTGAAATTAACTCAAAATCCACTATTAATTTATCGAAATCCACTCTGAAATTAACGTAATCCAAAAAAAAAAATTTAACATAATCCACTACACTATATCATTAACATCACCCACTACGAAAAAGGTAATCCGCTATGCAATTGATAAACCACTATAAAATAAATGCAAATCGACTATTAAAAAAAACAATTCACTACTAAATAAACATAATTCACTATAAATGTTTGGTCAGAAAAAATAAAACGACTACAAATTAAACAGAAACAGCAAAAATATCCATTTTCATAAAAAACCACCATGAATTTTAACACAAACATTAATAAACAAAGTACTGGGGGAATAACATTGAGTGTGAATACCACTATTTACTGTGTAAAGCAGTTGCCAAAAAAAAAAGTTTTCAAACCAGCATAACCAAGCAAAAGTACAATAATTGGGCAGATTAAATGTTGTAACCCATTTTTACATAGAGGAAGATAAATGATTACTATAAGTAATAAAAAACTATTGAGATTAGTAACTTCCTTGGCTATAAAAATGTGAGGAAGGTGAACAAGCAAACATCTTAAAGAACTCACTTTTCGGCTACTCACCGGAATCCACCATTTTTCTATATCTCAAATCCTGGTGCACCAAATTCAAGTACTTTAATTTCAGAAGACCCCCAAATAAAGAAATCGTCTCTCTCTTGAGAAAACGAACCCCAGTCACCGAACCCATCTTCTTAAACACCTCAAAGAAGAAAATCCATCGTTGATTTCTCTCGTCGAGCAAACAGTGACCAACTTGAAGACCAGTTCTCCCGCCGCACGACCCTTCACAACCCCGAAATCGAGCAGCCCCTCATCTGTGCCACCACCCACCATGGCTCCTCCTTCGACTACCGCAATTATTGCCGATGCAAGGCCTCCGCCGTCGTGGGGTGCTAGCAGATGGCGGCGTCCGTCTGGAGCTGACCCAAACCACTGCCTCGCCTCGAATGCCTCGGGTCTGAAACCCCAGTCACCATCTTCAGCCTATCATACTGCAACAGTGAAGGCTACAGTGGAGTTAAAATCATCAAAGATAAGAGAGAGGCAAAAGAGAGATTTGTGGGTTGATTGAGAACCCTAATATACACTTAAATAAAATAAGGGTATAATGGTGATATTTAGTTATTTTTTATTAATAAAAGGTGTTTTGGATTTACCTTAAAAATGTAAAATAAATTTGGGTTCATTGTAACTACACATGTGTGATGAGGGGGTTTTGTCAAATAATCCCTTTAATTTAACTTTATGTTTTTGATGTAATATGGTTATGTATTCATATTATCTTAGTTAAGGTAGAAATTTGACGAACTTTCTTCTTTTAACACCCATAACATGCCTCAGTAAATTTACTGTAAATCAATGATATTATTAAATCTCAAAAATTTGTCAGAAGCAACATTACTTTTAGTAATATGATGATACGTGGATTTGAGGTCAAAAAATGCAGATAGTTAATGTATTTATTAAACTTGATTATATTAAATGAAATGAAACAATAAAAATAAATAAATAACAATTATAACTATCAAATGAGCGAAAAGGTTTCCTAGTGTTTACCACGATCAACATTACTTTTATTAATAAGATTTGAAACATAATCGAAATGGTATATCAAATCATCAATAATTCCGGCAATTAGACTTTTCACGGGCAGTGTATGCAATTAATTCGTGTTTTTAATTATTGCGTTTGGTCGAATTCTCTTTTGGATTTTCTTGCATTTTCCTACAAAAATTCAAAAACGATAAAAAAATATTGTTTAAATTTTTCATTATATCTGAATTTGGAAAAAGATATTATAATTTCCGAAATTCGCATATTCCGAGGAATTCTGATTTTTTTGGAACAAAAATTGGAACTCATTTTAACTTATGAAAAAATTGAAATTTTTCGAAAAATGCCATTTCTGAATCCATTCCCAGCCTGTTTTACACTTTTTAAACATTGATTTTATTTATTTTTTATTAAGAATTATAAATAGAGAATTTGATTGGAGGTTAATTAGTCTTTTTTTATCCCGAAAAATCGTGGAAACATGAACGAACAGTCGTTGCGTACAAAAAGAGAAAAGTAGATAATTGTGTGGAGTTTGTTAGCAGCATCTATTTATACGGCTCCAAAATATTTGCCAACCAATCAAAAAGAAAATCAAAATATAGCATTTTTTGCAAAAATAAATAAATAAATGAATATGATAGATAAGTATCAAAATGGAGCATCAAACACTCAATTGATGGTGATACTTTAAAAAAATTCATATGTTTCAACTCATAGGTATTAAATAAATTATTATCCCTTTTCCATTGAAATTTTATTAAGATTTTATTTTTTTTTCTCATTGAAATTGCTAGGGCTATTTTTAAGAAATATTGTTGGAACCACGGCTGCACTTTGACGATTGATCACGAAACTTGTGGATGAGGCTTGGACTCCATTTGTTCTCTAATTTTATAGGTAACAAGTTGTTGCAATAAAAACCACGATAATATGGAGATAGGCAAGGTGAGGCGCGGACTAGGTCGCTTTCTTAAGACGGATTTCACGACCCCTTCTCTAATGAGGTGCAAAAAGGTTCCGATCGTGTCGCCTATGGGATACAACAGCCCAGCCTATCTCTCCGCTGTAACTTCACCGAAATTGCACGTTTGAGTGAAGTAGAAGCTTTCACCCGACACACAACAAGAGCTCAAAATATATGTATATAGTATAGATGAAAAGTGTTTCTTTTTCTCTTCTCTCTTGTGCCTATACAAAG